GGAAGGAAATAATCCACATCTTCTTTTATTTTTCAACTTGAATTACATGATTACCATATTTACATCCTGCATTGTATAACCTTAAATGTCAACTATGGCTCAAAGCATATTCTGCATGGAAAAATTTCACTACTTTCACAGTGAGTTTTCAATGTTTTCATTTTGCTGTTGTTATGATTCAGAAACAAGGCTGGCATGTATGAACTTTGGAAGGCTGTCCATTTTCTGACTGCGATTATTTCTGATCTGAACCAAACTCTTCATCCTTGTCAGAGGAGTACTGATGGAAACCACATGCAATAAAAGACAGTTGTGATGACGACATGCTAGAATCACTCATGTCTAAATACACTACAGGCAGTCCCCGGGTTACATGGATCCGACTTACATCGGATCCCTACTTACAAACGGGGTGAGGCAACCCCGCACTAGCTGCTTCCCCCCAGCAGACCAGGCAGACGCGAAGCTAGTGCCCCCCTCCCTCCCCAGCAGACCAGGGAGACACAGAGCGGCTTTTCTCAGCAGACACCTCAGCTTGAGAATAAAGGACTGAGGGAAGTGAGGTGTGGGAGAATAAAACTGAGCTCTGGAGAAATGTTTGGCTAGAGTTTCCCCTACAATATGTACCAGTTCCGACTTACATACAAATTCAACATAAGAACAAACCTACAGACCCTATCTTGTACGTAACCCGGGGACTGCCTGTATTACAGAAAATCACACTAGAAGATATTAAGACCTTTGTGCTAGTGTCTTTTCCTTTCTGAACTGTTCAGTGAACCAGTACTAACTGCTTCTTAGTTTCACTGTGCAAACAAAAACCACTCATGTCATTAAAAGCAGAAGAGAAGATGTCCTCAGTTAACATGATATACTGGGTAACTTTGCTATTTGTTTCCCCCGTTGCACCAAATTACAGTTTAAGAAAATAATTATTGGATAATATCAAATGCAAGTGAATCTCTATAGCAACTTCTCAGTAAGCTGCTCTAGTCCTACTCACTGTTTGAGAAAACTGGACTTCATATCAACAGACAGTGCTTATTTTTGTAGAACTAGCATTAAGCTCCTCTTTTAGGAGGTGCTTTTAATTTTATATTTTAAATCTATTCCTTCTCCTTATATTTATACCTAATCTGCTTTACTTTATGAACAAATTAATTTGTGATACACAATATGGTCATGGGCTGAATGCACAAAAATAATTCAGAAGGGAAAGAAGCACAAATGGTATTAAGTTTATGGTAAACTGTTCGGGAGAGGAGCCATATTTGATTTTTTTTATACTGTACACGCAATGTCCCAGTGCCTGAATAGGGGTCTCTAGATGCTACAATACAAACAATATTTAAAAAAAAGTATTTAAGAGCATAAAATAAAATAAAGTGCCATAACAACTAGCACTTACCTGTAATGCGGTGAAAGCTTTGAAAAGACCAGGAGTAGGCTGGCACTTACGAGCATCCACTAAAATAACGAGCCCCAGATCACGTACTTCCTTCCTAGAAACAGAAAGGCAAGTATTTCCTAAGGCTGCATTTTCCTGTTGATAAAATTATTTGATAAATATTTATAAAACGAACAGGCTGATGAGGGGGCCATCCACAACAACCTTAAAATATACACTTATTTCCACTCAGAAATAAGGCAGCAGACACTACATTATAAAGAAAATGATTAAAAACCTTTAGTAAGAGACCATGGGTGGGAAAATGTTTTTTTTCTCCAGATCATACTGTCAAAGATGAACAGCTTGCTGTTGCGCTGTCTGTAGGTTCCTTGTGGCCCTCCCTAGTCTCCTGACAGCACAGCTCCCTCTCCAGTTGTCTCTAGACCTCTGCCCACACATGCCTTAGAAGGGGAGTTTCATCTGTATGGAATGGCTGTGTGGTTAAGGTAACAGTCACAGTAGATATACTCTGGGTTTATAGGGGGAGTAATAATGCAACTAGACAACAGTCCCCCATCCATGTATAGATCTCCGTCCCTGGAGAAGGCTTTCTGATGTCCTGGAGATAGAGCTGCTGGTTGACGTCTCTTTTCTCATGAAAAAGTATAGATGAGCGAGTGGAGGCTTCTCTCTGCTTAAGGTCTGAGGGTAGGTGAAATGATCCAGAACTATATTATAAAGTTGAAATGAGTTCATGCTGACGAAGAACTAATTGCATAGCAGATTGATGCCTTGTTCTGCCATGTCTATTTTTTAAATAGATTGGTGTAAATGAAATGCTTTTGTCATCTGGATGCAAACATTTATTCTGAGTTAAACTTTGCAAGAGCTGCTTGGCTTTGGGGCAAACTATTAGATGAGACAGCAAAAAGGAGTTATGATTCCCAATAAATTTGTGCTCTTACAATCCAACTTTTCAGGCAGTTAATCAAGATTATAGACTCTATGACTGGAATTTTAAAATGCGCTTTCTTCAAGAATTGGGTGCCTGATTCTCTTATTCTACTTTGAAAATCCCAGCCACAATGCTAGCTGATAACATAGCTATTTTGAGGAGGAATTAGAGTAATTGGGGATAGTGAAGATATTTTTAAGGCCTAACTCAGAGGGTGGGCAATAATTTTTTTTTGGGGGGGGGGCACTCCAAGTTTCTGGTAAGTGATCAAGGGCTGCACTTTTCTGTGGAGGGAGTGTGGGGTCTAGGTTGGAGATTGGGTGCAAAGGGGTGCATGGGTTAAGGGACTGGGATGCAGGAGATGGTATGGGGTCTGAGAGGGTGTTTGGGTGGAGGAGAGGTTGTGAAGGAGAGGATTCTGGCCTGGGACAGGGGTGTAGGAAGGGATACAGGGTCTGGGAGGGAGTTGTAACCTGGGGCAGGGGGTGCAGACGGTTTGGATGGTTATCTGGGGGAGGGAGTTGGGGTGCAGGAAAGGCGTTGCAGGGCGGGATTTACCTAGGTGTCTCCTGGCCATCAGCCCTGCAGCGTCCCCAAGGCAGGCTGGTTTCCCTGTCTGATGCAGCCACTTGAAAATGCAGGCTGCTCCCTCTCCATGGGGGGGAGGGTCTGGGGCTGCCCCAGTCTCTCAGGCCAATCTCTCAGCTCTGATTGGCTGGCTGTTTACAGCCAATAGGAGCTCAGAGATTGGCTGAGGTCAGTTCTTATTGGCCGATTGTTTCTTGCCAATAGGAGCTGAGGATTGGGCTGGGGGCAGGGAGATTGCATGAAGCCTCCAGCTCCCTTCAGAGCAGAGAGCTGCAGGGAGTGTGTTTTAAAACACAACAGCTGCGTGTGTCTGAGGGTCCCAGTTGGGTGGCTCATGGGCTGGATCTGGCTCCTGGGCTATATTTTGCCTAGCCCTGGCCTAACTGCACTCACTTTAAGGGTGAAATTCACCCTTCTGCTGAGGGTTGACAAACAGCTAATGCACGAGGGTGAATCTCATGCTAAGTGAGTGGTCCCACATGCTGAGAGTGAGGAAGCTGCATAAACTAGCCAGACAGGATTGCAACACTAGGCTGTTGCACACATGAAATATATTGTTTCAAATTTTGTTTAAAAGCTGTTTTATCATCCTCCAGACTCATGCTTATATACTGCAATTTTATAATCTAAATAAAGATTTACATGTATTTACACTAAGCGTAAACAGCAATTACCATTAAAGGCACTAATCATATATATACACACAATGAACAACTAAACATTATTTAAAAAAGCCAGGGCCATTTAAAGGCAAATATGTCATTCAGAGAATGTCAAGGTTGTGAGGCAAGCTCTAGGAAAGAAAACAAAAGCACTATTAAGCCTTAAGACACCTTTAGTGCAATGTGAGTGGGTACAATAGTTAAACATTCGGGGAGCAGACAGACCTGGTGGGTCCCTGGGCTAGGTGAGGGGAGGGCAGCTCCATGCTCCTGAAAGGCCGGGGCTCAGGTAGAAGGAGCAAGACTGGGAGCAGCCGGCCCTCAGCGCTGTACAGATTGTGCTGCCTCATGGTCCCCCCCACCAGGCAGCCCTCAAAGCCACCCAGCGTGTGCTGCCTAGATTTCCAGGGGCAGTTTAAAGGGGCCAGGGCTGCAGCAGCAGCAGCCATGAACCCTGGGCCCTTTTGAATCGTTGGACCCAGATGCACTTGCCCCCTTAAGCCCCCCCACACGCACACCTCACGGTTGATAGGCCTGCAAACATTAATTTATTTTATACTGTAGTGGGAAAGTACAGATTTTGGGCTCAGTCAGCTTCCATTTAAGCCAACAGTAAGCTTCCCATTCACTTGAATAGGAGTCCTAATTCCTCCCCAGGTGAAAACATCTTATAGATGTGAATAGAAAAACATATCCTTTCTGCAGTGTCACCATCACCACCCACCTAAGAGAAAGGACAGCATTCTGTATTCCATTCTCCAGGGAGTGCGTGTGCTCAAAGTTGAGCAGGGTTACTGTTCCCTAAGGGGTGATGTATGGCCTTGGGAGCAAAACGAGGCACCAGTCACTTGGTTTCAGAGAACACCTCAACTGCAATTGTATCTAGCCCTGCCCTTTGCCCCTTTCCCACCCAGGCCAGCGACAGTATGGCCATAACTGTACTTCTGTTTGGTTTTTGAGTCTGTAGCATTTGATACACAATTTGTGAATTAGAAACAAAAGGGGTTCGTGAAAACAGAAAAAATTAATTTCTCAGGAGTTGTGCGCCCAAGTAGGCTTTCGTGAAAGTGGGGGGAAGGGGGAACAGGACATTTCTCTGCAGTGGCATATAAACATAGGCCAAGATTGTAATAGGGTTCAAGAAAGAACTAGATACATTAATGGAGGTTAGGTCCATCAATGCCTATTGGCCAGGATGGGGAGGAATGGTATCCCAAGCCTCTTTTTGTCAGAAGTTGGGAATGGGCAACAGGAGAGGGCTCACTTGGTCAGTACCTCTTCTGTTCATTTCCTCTGGGGCATCTGGCATTGGCCATTGTCAGAAGACAGGATACTGGGCTAGATGGACCTTTGGTCTTTATATTGGACAAGATTTTCATCTGTACCCAAGGAGAAAGGACAACACAGAAAATGCTTCTGGGTCTATAATCCTGGGACTTATTCCGTACTGGTCTGTTTCCCTCAGGGCTGCTCTGAACTAGACAAGCTGTTGAGAACCTAAGGGGACTTTAATCACTGAAGTCTCCTTTAACCTAGGAAATTTCAGCTACCCACATAGGTCAGCTATCAAGCTTCCTTGGCAGAGCAACGTATGGCTATATTGGAAGGGACAATCTGGCCCACTATATTTACCAAACACAGCACCACTTTGAATTAGGGTAGGACAGGGCCTTTGACATGCTTGTGCAAGTTGTATAAAGACCACTAGCATAGGTTCCGACTTCCCTTCTAGCCAAGTGGGGGTGGTCGACTGATGCTCCCCCAGCCCTGGTGACATGCTTGTGCAAGTTGTATAAAGATCACTAGCATAGGTTCCCACTTCCCTTCTAGCCAAGTGAGGGTGGTTGACTGATGCTCCCCCAGCCCTGCCCCTATTCTAGCCCTTCCCCAAAACCCCAACCTACCTCTTCTCTGCCTCCCCTCATCCCTGAGTGCGCCACAACCCCACTCCTCCACCTCCCTCCCCAAGCACCCCAAGCACTGCAAAGCAGATGTTTCACAGCAGGCAGGAGGTGCTGGGAGGGAGGGAAAGGAGTTGGTCAGCAGGACTGCATACAGGCAGGAGGCGCTGGTGGAAAGGGAATACAGGAGGCACTTGGCTGTTGGTGGATGCTGAGCAAATGCTAATTTTTCCCCATGAGTGCTGTAGCCCCAGAGCACCCACGGAATCGGTGCCTATGACCACTGTTCAGTAGTACTGTATTTTTAAAACTATACAAAAAATGTCAACAACATCCGCTAATACCTGAGTTATGATGCTGAGGTATCAACTAGTTCTTAGTAGGGATGTGAATGGGTAAGCAGTTAACCAGTTACCGGATAAGCATCTCCCTGAGTGATGCTTACTGGGTAACAGTTAACCAGCGCCCAGGAGTGGCCTCCCCGCCCATACTATACTGTTGGCAGAAGGCTGCTCCAGCCTTGCTGGGCCCACTGCACTGTGGATGAGGGTGGGAGCTGGCAGCCCAAGTGCTGCACAGGGCCAGGAGACAGCAGAACTGTGAGGTGGAGGTTTTTCCAGCCAGGCTGGTGCAGTCCCCAGTCTAGGATCCCATTTAACTGGTTATCCAGTTAAACTTAACAGTTAACCCGTTAACTAATTTAACGGGATTTTACATCTCTAGTTCATATGGAATTCATTTAAGAATACTTTGAGCAGAACTCTTTGTCCCCTATTGGACAGAAAGACAATTATATCACAGGATTATATTTGATACTTGTTATACTTTGATATTTAATTCAAGCCACAAACCGTTTTCAATTTTATGATAACTTCTGGAAACTTTTCAAAATTCTCTTTATTTACAGGCAGTCCCCGGTTTACGTACAAGATAGGGACTGTAGGTTTGTTCTTAAGTTGAATCTGTATGTAAGTCGGACCTGGCGTCAGCCGCTGCTGAAACTGAT